AATACTTAAGCATGTATAGTTGAGAAGTAAACTAATTGGTGTACACTATAGATTGTGAAAATTGTGAAATTGTTGGTGATTAATGTTGAAACATCACATGTAGTCTCGAAGAGACTAACTTGGTAGAAATTGTGCATGATGAGAAATTGATGTTGCTATGAGTTGATGGCATATAAGTTATTTTGTGAAATAGCATTGAAGAAAGGAAATGAGAAATGTATTTGTTTGATATTATTGTCAAGTTACTCGAATTGGAGAAATGTTATGAGATATGGGAAAATCTTTGCATTACATACTCATTCATGTTATTACTATTATGCATTGTGAAATTTGAATGGAAACATTTACTTCAAGAAAAGAACATATTTATCGAAATGAGAACTATGGTAATGTGAATGGGGTAAATACGTGGTAAGTTCGAATAGGGGGATGTAGTTGAATTTGATAAGTTGGCCTGAGTGTCCCTGGTGAAAGACTAGAAACCCGGGCGGATAGGCGTCGAGCTTTCCGGTTAGCACCGGTAAAAATGACAATTTGGTAATACTTGTGGAGTCTACTTGGAGACACCAGCCTAGGGATTACTAGTGTCGTATTTACTGCCCCCATTGATTAAAAATTGGAAGTTTGAAATAAGCTGAGATTGTAAATTTTATGGAAATATGGTAATCTTCAAAAGGTATGAAATGGATTTGCTTTAAAAAGTGCATGGCATGGCATTGACATTTGCATTTTTAATTGGGGTTTCATAACTGCATATACTTTGTGAGAATTCTCTACTGGCCTTTGTGCTCACCCCTATGGGATTGGTGCAGGTAAAGATGTTATAATCCCACCAAGCTAAGGGTGGGGATATGTTTTGATGAAGAGTAGATCACTCTTTCTTTTGTTGAAATTTAAAGCCTAGGGCTAATTTGGTATGGGTCCGAAAGACCATTTTGTGTAACTGGGCAATTGCCTTGAAAGATGTAAGCCCATAAGGGCATTTCTTTTATTTTATTTATTGTTGGAGACTAATTGTTTCACATGCTATAAATTTAGGTGTTTTCTTATCATTGAATGTATATTTGCATCCTTGTACAAACCATGGATATTTTGATATAGAGAATGGAGAATGGTTGTAAATGATGAATGTACGTAGTTAATGTATTATCCATGTTGGTATTATTTCGAGGCATGACAGTTTTTCTCTTAAACTTAAAAGAACCTGTAAACCACACGACCATCACCCACATAAAGTTAATTAATAATAAGAGATAAGTCTTCTTCAATCTTTTTGCACAAAAATTTCAATCACTCTCCCAATGTCTAACAACTGACCAATTTTACTATTTGGAAGTACTTAACATTTTTAATATCTATTTATTTATTAATTAATTACTTTTTTTTACACCATGTTGACCCAAGTCCTCTTACGAGACAAATTGCGTGAACAATTTGATAGAATGTTCAAGGGCAAATTGAAACTGTGGTCCTTGTAATTTTGCCTCTTGTATCAATTTGATTCATATAGTTTCAATTACTTTGAGGATAGTGAATTGACTATTCTATCCTTGATTTTAGTTCAATTTTTAAAGAAGGGTTATTAATTGGACTAAATTGACACAATTCGAAAAATTAAAGAACAAATTTGAAGCAATTAAAATTAAAAGAATCAAATTAACACAACAACTAAACTATATGTAATATTCTCAATTTTCAAATTGCACAACATTTTGATCAACCCTGCAGCATTGTGAGTCTTCCCAATTCCAAGATCTTTTTTTTTTGGTGAGATTTGGTGATAGACCCCTCATTGTTTAATTTGTCTTTCAAAAAAACAAGAATTATATAGGTACTTTCAAAACCCCTTAATATTTTAAAACTTATTTCTTTTACTATATTACCCTCATATCTATCAACTCTCCTATTAAGCCATCTTTACAGTGTATTTCAAAGTAAAATTTTATATTGTTAAGTAAACTAATATGTTTTTAACCAAAGTAAAATTTTACTTTGAATCATAGTAAACTTCACTCTGATTTTACTCTGATTCAAAGTAAAATTTTACTCTGAATTAGAGTAAAGTTTACTATGATTCAAAATAAATTTTATATCGTCAAGCAAATCAACATGTTTTTAACCAGAGTAAAATTTTAGAGTAAAATTTTACTATCGTTAAGCAAATCAACATATTTTTAACTAGAGTAAAATTTTACTTTAAATCAGAATAAAGTTTACTATGATTCCGAGTAAAATTTTATATCGTTAAGCAAATCAACATGTTTTTAGCCAGAGTAAAATTTCAGAGTAAATTTTACTTTGAGTCATAGTAAACTTTACTTTGATTCGGAATAATACTCTGAATCAGAGTAAAGTTTACTGTCACTCAAAGTAAAATTTTATATCGTTAAGTAAATCAACATGTTTTTAACCAGAATAGAATTTTACTTTGAATCATAATAAACTTTACTCTGATTCAGAGTAAAATTTTACTTTGAAAGTACAATTTTATTTTGAATCAGAGTAAAGTTTACTATAATTCAAAGTAAAATTTTATATTGTTAAGCAAATCAATATGCTTTTAATTAGAGTAAAATTTTACTGTTACAAAAAATAAAATACATACTAAATGAATGAACTAGAGTCAAATTTTACTCTAAGATTTACAAACAAATTAAAAAAAGAAGCCAGTTGACTGCACCACCGATGGACCACCACCTCCGTCGATCTACCACCATTGCCTCATCTCTCTTATCTTCATTAGATTTCTCTCTCTCTCTCTCTCTCTCTCTCTCTCTCTCTCTTTTCTCTCTATTTCTCTCTTTAAATCTTACCATCCTCCACTTCAAGCCGTCATCCTCTACTCCGCTGTCAAGGAGGTCTTCGTCTTCAACGTTGCCTTTGCTGCTGAATCGAAAATCCAGATCTGTCGTTGCTTCTGCTCAACTATGAGATCTAAATCTGTTGGTTCCAGATCTAGATCCACCACTACTACCGGGCGTGAATGTGCTCTCCGTCGTTGATCTTGGTAGAGCGGATGAGGAGAGAGACGGAGAAGGTGAGATCTAGTTGAGGGGTATAATAGTCTGATAAAATATTTAAATAATAAATTTTGTCATTTATAGAAGACTTTATAATTATGAGGGGGCACTACAAGAAATAACAGTTTTGGCTACCAAAATATTATTCGCCAAAGGTTGGATTTTTAGTCACTGATACCATTTAGCGACTAAATTTTTTTGTCGCCAAGTTAATCGCCTAAACCCTGTCGGCGAATGTTTTAGTGACTAAACGCGTGTTTGGTCGCTAAAAGTGCAACATTTGGCTACTATTTTCTTAGTCGGCAATGTTACCTTTTAGCTACTAAATTTTATTTGGTTGGCAAAAATAAATGTTTTGGCTACTAAATTATTGGTCGCCAATAGTCAATTTTATTTTTTAAAATTATACATTTACCAACCAATATCCGGTTTTGAAAGTATAATTTTTTTCTTAGTCTTTTTAACAATGAAAGAAAGATAAGGGTGGTTTATAGTAAAATTTCCCTTCTTTTTTTTTTTTTTCAAAACTTAATATATCCCGCTATTTATATACATATACTAGCAATGCAGTGAATGATTAAATTGACATTTTCTTGTTCAAAAAGCTACAGCATTTTAAACAAATTAAAAAATAGTGCTTGAATGAGATGGGTTTTTGAGTGATTGGACTAACTCGACACTGATATTGCGGTATCATCATTTTACTGTAGAAAACATTTTGAAGGCCTCGTTTGGCAAGAGGCTATTTTAGTCAATTAGTCAAAAAGTTACTAAATTAGTCAAAAAGTCAACAATCCATACCAAAAAGTCAAAGATTCTCTTTTCTCTCTACTTTTTGCACATATTTTCGTAATTAGCCAAAAAGTCATCCCAAACATACAAGTTTTTTTTACTTACCTTTTTAGTCAAATAGCCAAAAAGTTACTAAATTAGTCTGTTCCCAAACGAAATGAATGAGGCCACTAACCCATATGACTAATTATACTGTATGTATCAATATTAATTGTCAGCATTTTATAATCTCAGTAGCATTTATTTATAAGTTGTTCATTTTTTTTAATCATTAATAGTCAGTCCAAACGCAACAGAACAAAAAAATAACATTGCAACGTGGAGGCTATATAAATAAATATTTAATGGTTTGTCACTTCCATTATTTTTACTACAAAACTTCAATCTAAATGGACAGAAAGGTTCAACAAAGGCAACCAAATTAAACAAGCCAACGAAGAGGTGATGTGTAATAAAATAAAATAAGCCATTACCATAACACGATGCGTAATTTTAATCACTAAGTATAAATCAAAATTGAAGATGTTTATTATAAATTTTATCTTCTTCTTTTTTCTTTTTTCTTTTTTTTCCCTCTATGATTATATATGCATGTTTATTATAAAAATATATGATGAATTATTATTCGATTTTATTATTTTTTAATAATATTTCTAAATAAGAAATGAATTGCAATAGTCCATATAAATTATATGAAACGGTGACCCAAAAACAAAATGATGCATAACATAATGTATTGAATCAAATTACGATTGGTTCGATTTTTTTTTTTCCCCCCTCAGCCCTACATAATATCACTTGACAATAAATTTTTTTAAAAAAGGACAAATAAAATTAAGAGAACACTTATGAAAAAAAAAAAAAAAAAAAAAAAAAAACTCAGCTATGTCAATTTTGTTATTGCAATGTACAATTTTTCAAGTGACCATGGAAACTATGACAAAATAAACAATTAATAACGTAAGATTGTAATTACATATACAGCCAACATTCTACGACTATGCGATTTATTTTATGTATTAAATTTATTTATTTGTTTGTTGTCAACTCAAGCTGTTTGATAAGAAGAGCTCATAATTGACATAGTCAAAGTCTAATTCAAAACCTAAAGGAAAAGCTAAGATCATTCTACAGACTACTATATATATGGAAAGGAATTGCAGAACAAACGCAGAACATTGTTTGAAATACAAAGCCACTTACTAGAAGAATCTTGAGCACTTCTCAGATAAAAAAACAGAGAGAGAGAGAGAGAGCTAGCTTTTTGTGATCTTTGTTTCTTTGTCTCTTTGTCATACATTGTTCGGTTAAACAGCATGGCACGTCTTGTGTTCTTGCTGGCATGCGCTTTAGCTCTTCTGGCTACTTCACTCAGTTCTGCTGTTGTAGTGGAGCATTCTTTTGAAGTAATACATCTTACCAATTTCAATCATTTTTAAACTTGACACAAACAACCCCCGACGAGATACACCCAGCCCCCCCGGCCGGGGCTTGTATGTGGTTCATTTCTCTTGTATCTGTTCTGTGTACTTTTTTGAGTCCGGTATGAATTACATGTTTCTAGTTTCTAAAAACCTTCCATGCGGAGAGCACTTTCTTTGAAGTGCATTGCTTCTGCATTTTTTCATTTTAAGATAAACATCAATAATTTTGCTTTTCTAAAATTTTTCATAACTACTCAAAAAAAATATCATCTTAAACTTGAAAATTCAAATTTTATAACATAATGTATCACGTTTACATTGTTTCAGGTGAAAGATATAACTATCAAACGACTGTGCCAGAATCAAGTCATTACTACCGTAAATGGAGGCTTACCAGGCCCAACAATTCTAGTTCACGAGGATGACACCCTTGTTGTTCATGTCTTTAATAAGTCTCCCCACAACGTTTCCATTCATTGGTAATATGGCTTTTCAATTTACATTTTTTTTTAGACAAAGTTTGATATATATATTGAGTTAATTAAAAGTGACACCATGTACTTCATAATTATAAAAAATAAATAAATAAACAAAAAACTTTGTTTTTCATTATCCCTTTCAAGATTTAACATGACATTTTATTATTGTCTTCGATTTGTTTCACATATTTCGTCCATTGTAACTTGTTGAATTGAAAGAAACAAAATGAGTTTATTATTATTGTTATTGTTACTGTTATTAAGATTTAAAAGAAAAGAAAAAAAAATTTATTTTTCTAGTCACAACACCAACAACTTAAACCTATTATACATTTTCTCATTATACTAGTGATCCTTTTCATTGTTGTTGAAAATTTGTACAATCACTACACAAGATGAAAAAAATAATCACATTGACTACATGAGCAAGTGTTCTTATTATACTATAAATTCTTATTGTTGTGTTGTAACATGTTTGCAGGCATGGAATTTTTCAACGATTGAGTGCTTGGGCAGATGGACCTGAATATGCAACCCAATGTCCAATACGTCCAGGGAGTAGCTATACTTATAGATTTCACATCACAGGACAGGAAGGGACCCTTTGGTGGCATGCACATAGCCAATGGCTTCGTGCAAATGTTTATGGGGCGTTAATTATTCGTCCAAGGGCTGGTCATTCATACCCATTCTTAAAACCTTATAGGGAAATCCCAATTCTTTTAGGTATCAACTATATATGTATATATATTTTTGTGTGTGTGTGTTAATAATTGGTTAAATGGTTTGCCTTAGAACTTCTGCATGATTAGTCATCCATTAAAATGTGATTACAGGAGAATGGTGGAATGCTAATATTATTGACATCGAAAACCAAGCAACTGCAAGCGGTGGTCCACCTAATAGTTCCAATGCTTTCACTATCAATGGCCAGCCTGGCGATCTCTACACATGCTCTTCAAATAGTAAGTATTGTCTCACTTTATAGTCCAACATTAATGCAATAATGCAATTTTAGTTGCTAAGTTATATTTAATATCAAGTCTCAGTTTTAACTTGAAATGTCTAGGGCTTTTGTATAAAATTTGGTTTTTTGTATTTTTTTAGGCACATATAAAGTGAACGTGGTACAAGGAAAAACATATCTTCTACGCATCATCAACGGTGCAATGAATAACCAATTCTTCTTCAAAGTAGCCAACCACAAAATGACAGTTGTTGCCATTGATGCCATTTACACTACACCGATGGTCACCGACTTCATTGTCATTGCCCCTGGACAGACCATTGACGCATTACTTACTGCTGACCAACCACTAGCCTCTTATTACATGGCAGCACATACCTATATTAGTTCAGAAGGCGTGCCTGATACAACCACTACCACTACTGGGATTATTGTTTATAAGAAAGCCAAGTCATCAACCCCACAATTGCCGACCCTACCAGCCTTCAATGACACACCAGCAGCCCACAACTTTTATACTAGTCTAACGACTCTTGTGAATGCTCCTCACTGGGTTCCAGTCCCACTTGAAGTTGATGAACACATGTTTGTGACAATAAACTTAGGCTTGATCCCATGTGAAGGTAATGCTACTTGTCAAGGCCCACTTAAACAGCGATTAGCTGCAAGCTTGAACAATGCATCATTCCAGCTCCCCACCAAGTTGTCGATGTTGCAAGCCTTCTTCAACAATGTTGATGGGTTCTACACCCCTGATTTTCCCGACCAACCACCAATGGTGTTTGATTACACAAACTCAAACAACAACTTCAACAGGACAATCATAATGACTTCAAAGTCAACCAAAGTGAAGAAACTTAAGTTCAATGCAACTGTTGAGATTGTGTTCCAAAACACAGCTTTATTGGGTATAGAGAACCATCCTATGCATTTGCACGGATTCAATTTCCATGTGTTGGCTCAAGGGTTTGGAAACTATGACCCCGTAAATGATCCCAAAAAGTTCAATCTCATCAATCCTCAAGCACGTAACACCATCGGTGTGCCGGCCGGAGGATGGGCTGTTGTTAGATTTCGGGCAGACAATCCGGGTAAATATTAATGTTTTATCATGCATGGCTTTATCATTTTGATATAGTATCTTGATTACTTGTCAATTATCCTTTGTCCATACAATTTTAAAAATCTTCTAATGATATGTAAATATATGTGTGTTTAACACATTTTGTACATGTATATTTTTTTTTGATCAGCAAAGAAAAATTTCATTAACAATATGAAATTAAAGGTACAGGAAGATGACATGCATCGAGAGAGATTCGGAAGTACACCCACAGCACTCAATGCGAACTCACCCACTCCCGACAGAAACTCCACACCCAGCCACCCCTAAGATGCTGCAACTCCACCGGCTGAGTAGACCCCAAAGCACCACCGGGAAGCCCGATGCTGCTCCACCTTCAGTCTCCTTAACTCACACCCACCGAACTCCACACACCTACATTTTGTACATGTATATTGATTTATGCTTTTTGGAAATTTTGATGATTACAGGTGTATGGTTGATGCATTGTCACATGGATATACACGTGCCATGGGGCCTGATGACGGCTTTTGTGGTTGAGAACGGGCCAACACCATCGACTATTTTGCCTCCACCTCCACCAGATTTACCCCAATGTTAGGAGTTGTTCTACATTGTAGTTATTTTCTAATAATTTCTCAATTATTTTATGTTCCTATTCGTTACAACAACCATGTAATATAGGTGATCAATAATTTTTTTGTTTCAATTGTAGTAAGTATGCTTCTTTTCTTTTTTTTTTGGGTAGTAAAATGAATTTTGCTTATCTGTGTAATCTTGGCAAGTGAAACTTGCTTTGTTTATGTGCACAACAATGATTGTGCTTTATCTAATAAACTTTTTGAGACTATTCATGTATTCATAATTAAGTGTCGTTTCGTTTGATTGGTTTAAAACTCAATTTTTTAGTAACCTTTTGTTGTCGTATTATCATTTTATACATAAGGGGACTTACATGTAGGTTCTAATAGGTGAACTTATTATCTGATAAGTCTTATGATAATTAATAATATTTTTCATCAAATACTATTAAGAAACGTCATTAACTGTTAATTATCGGGGTTGAAGATTAACTTTCATAAGAGTTATGTGTGTGGGGTTGGGTTCAATGAGGATGTTGGCGAACTTTATGTGAAACAACTAAACTGCCTGTGTCAAAAGCTACCTTTTATGTATCTTGGGTTACTACTGGGCGCAAGTCCAAGGAGGAGAAGTACTTGGTTGCCTATAATTAACAAATTCAAGGCTAAATTAGCTTCTTGGAAAAGGAAGCTTCTATCCTTTGGAGGCAGATTGACACTTGTTAAAGCAGTGTTTTCATCTTTACCTATCTATTATCTTTCAGTTTTTAAAATGTCTGAGAGTGTTGTAAGACTTCTTAACAAGATCCAGGCCAAATTCTTGTGGGGTGGCTCAGAGGTAAAAAAAAATTTGCATTTGGTAAAATGGGAGGAGGTTTCAAAGAGCAAAGACTTTGGGGGGTTTGGGTATTAGGAAGTTAAGAATGGTTAATGATTGTTTGTTAGCTAAATGGTGAGGGAGGTATGGGTGTGAAGATTGGTCATTGTGGAAGTCAATGTTAATTAGCAAATACGGCAGCATTGGTGGAAGATGGCTACCATTCACTGAGGATGGTCAATAGAGTTCGAAACTTTAGGGAGATATTCTCAATATTTCTGTCAGTAACACTCAGTTGTACAGTTTCTATGTGGCAAACTGTGAAGTTCAAGTGGGAAATGGAACTAGAATCAGATTTTGGAAATACCATTAGATTGGTGAAAAATGTATTAAGGAGGAGCATCCAAGGTTATTTGAGTTGTCATTGGAGAAAGAGGTCTCTCTGTCTCATCTGGTTGAAAGAAAAAGGATTATATCAAGATGGGACCTGAAGTTTAGGAGAAGATTGAGGGTTTGGGAAGAACTTGAAGTTGAAAGACTCATGGATAAGTTAAATAGCAGTACCCCATGTATGGCAGAGAAAGCTGATGCTTTGGTTTGGAATAAGTTTAGTACTGCTATTTCTTACAATAAACTTACATCTGGGCAGGTTTTCGTTGCCACTGAGTTCATTTGGAAGAATGTGTCGCCACCAAAGGTAAAATTCCTTTGCTGGCTTGTTTGGAAAGGTAGAATTAAATTAAGAGCATATATCCATAGCTTGGGGCTACTGAATCAAAATAATATGACTGATGGTGTTTTCTGTAATGAGGAATTAGAATCTTTGAACCATGTTATGTTATTGTGTCCTATTGTTTGGCAAGTATGGTCAAATCTGCTAACGTAGTGGGGGGATGTAATGGGTTTCACCTCAGAGGTCTACTAGATTGGTGGAAAGGGTTTAAATGGAGGAAGGTTGAAGGCATAATCTGGAAGGTCATCCCATTGGCCACTCTCTAGTCTGTTTGGAGGATGAGAAATGAGTGTGTTTTTAATGGGAAACAACCTTTGATGGGGAAGCTGTTGGAACTGATAAAGACACGAGTTATCTTATGGTTTAAGGCTAATTTAAGAGATTGTTTCTACTCAGTGTAGGAGTTGGTGTCAAATTTGCAGCATGTTAGGAAGATACTACGCTAGAATGGTTGTTTGAGTGCCAGGTGGTGACCTGGTGTACAGGGGTGGAGGGTGTTCAAGTGGTACCCTGATGCTGAGTGTTATTTGTTATCTTGTGTTCGGCTGTCTTGATCACTTGTGGATTGGTTGGCAGGGGTGCATTTGTGTTGTATGTCCTCTGTTAGCATAGGGGTTTGTGTGCTTGGCTGAATGGTGGCTTATTCAATCTCTCTTGGCTGCTGGTGCAAGGTGATATTCCAAAATGTGTTTTTCATAACTTTAATGAGTTGGCCTAAGTAGTTAGCATACAAAGCTTTGAAGATTGATGTTTATACAAATGAAGCAGCAACAGTTTGGGTCTGGCCCTGGTTCACGGTTTTGCTTCCTTTGGTTCACAATCTGTTAGGTGAAGTAGTGTATCAGAATTGGAGGTTGAATGCTATGGATTAAGTCTGGTTCTTGTAGAGGGCTTAGGATTTCTGTTTAGTTGTTACTGGTTCTGTTTGGTTGTTACTGGTTTCTTGTGTGTTGCTGCAGAGGGCTTTGGATTTCTGTTTGGTTGTTACTGGTTTCTTGTGTGTTGCTGTAGAGGGCTTAGGATTTCTACAGAGGTTCAATTTTGATTGGTTTTTTTTGGCTACTTTTGATTGGTTTCTCACCATTCTTAGGTCAAATGCTAATATATGATTGTGCTTCCTTTGTAGTGCCAACCTAGTTGGAATTGTTGAGGTTAACTATGATTTTTTTGCATTTTCCTTCTTTGTTGATGTAAATTTTGCATGTTTTGTGTCTCTTTTCATTAATAAAGCTTTTGTTTTTACTGATAAAAAAAAAATTGTTAATTTTCAGCGACAGTTTAAAAATTAGTACAAAAAATGTCACTAATTTTTTAAAAAATCGTTACAAAAAAGTTACTAATTTTTAACTCTCCGCGACAATTTAAAAAATTCCTCACAGAAAAGCGTCTCTAATTTTATGTTTTAGTAACAATTTATAAAAATCGCGACAAATTAAAAAAAAAAAGTCAGTAATTGTTAATTTTTAGTACATATGCAGAAAATCATCACTAAAAATTATTTTTAACGACGATTTTATTATAACTTATTTTCAATAGGACTTGATGAGAATTAAGTCCAACTATTAAAAGTTATTGATGATTTACACTTATATTATATATATATATGTATATATTTTAAACTTTGTAGAGGGCTTTTGTGTGGATTTTCACTTGTTTAGCAAAAGTAAATGCGAAACCCAGTAAAATTATTATTATTTTTAAATGCTAGTTTATGATCGGTATGATGGGTCTTGCATGCCCAACTTCAATCGAGCTCAATTTCTATTCGTAGTAATCCAACAATCTTATGCTTAGTTATGAATTTGTTCACATTTTCAATGGGTCTGTTTTTAAATGAAATAGGAATGTGGATTTGATCAAAGTGAGGGTAGTTTTTTGGGCAAAAGCAAAGGCTAATAATATAAGGGATTTTTCATTAAGAATGATTCTCAATCGAGCTCAATTTCTATTCATAGTAACCCAACAATCTTATGCTTGGTTGTGAATTTGATCCCAATTTCAATGGGTCTATTTTTTAATGAAATGGGATTGTGGATTTGATCAAAGTAAGGGTAGTTTTTTGGACAAATGCAAAGGCTAATATAAGGGATTTTTCAGTAAAAATGATTTTATTTTTCACCTCCAACATTATTGGTGTGAGATCTAACCAGGCACTTTCAATAGTTAATGATTTGGAGATCTAACTAGTCTTTTCCAGTCCCTTCATCCTTTTGACCTTCCAATAGTTAATTATTTCATTTGCAATCAGAATCCCATCTTGGATGTTTCTTACCCCTACGAAGGCAGTTCTTACTTCGCCAATAATAGAATGAAGTGCCACCTTAATTCTTGCTGCCAGCACTTTTGATAGCACTTCGTACATACTTCCAACCAAACTAACGGGTCTATGATCCTTTAATGATACTAGGTTATCATTTTTTGAAATGATGAATTTAGCCTCTTTAGTAGCTTTCCTTTGTTGTGGAATTCTGAAAACAATTGGACTATAGCCTCCTTCATTATCATCCAACACTTCTTCAGACATAGCATGTTGAACCCATCCAGACCTGGAGCTTTATTGCCATCACAACTTTTAACTGCTACCCAGATTTCATTTTCAGCAAAATTTTCTGTTAACAACCTGTTCATGTCATCACCAATCTCAGCCCCCTAATTACCACCCAAACATGGCCTTTCTTTTCATTTTTCTGAAAATAAGTTCGTAAAATGATTCAGCACTTCTAACTTAACCCCTTCTGGGTCTTCAATACTACTCCCTTCCACTAATGCAGAATTGAAAAAATTCTTTCTTTGTCTTCTATTTGCAATGATATGAAAGTATCTTGTATTATGATCACCTTTAAGAGCCCGTGATTTTTGGTGCCAAAACCAGTAGGCCCTCAATAAAGCTTTCCACAATTCCGCTTTTAACCCCTTCCTTCTTAATAGATATTGACTTTGCAAGATACCATCCTCTGCTGCCAAATCCAAAGAGTGTAGCTGATCGTCAATACATTTCACCTTCTCCTAAATATGTTAGAAATGGTTGGGAAAATTCTGGGTAAAACCAAAATTTTTTCCTAAGTTTGGTCTATTTTTTTAGATGGAACCCAAGTGTCGATTTCCACAGGTCAAAGTGGTAACACGTTCTATGTCGCGTTGTGATTCACGTGGTATATTTGGTTGCTCAAAACTATTATCGAGTGAATGGGAAATTGAAGCCAAAGTGAACTCCATGAAAATAGAATTTTGGTGGGAATTCCTTAAGGTTGGAAAATGGCTTGTCCCACATTGATTTGGTGGGAAGTTTTGAGTGGGTTTATAAGGCATGCGATTGGAACTTGGGGTGTGCCCTAAGGGTTACCCAATTTTTGTAGAGATGGAGGTTATGGGCTAGACCCATTGGACCCAAAAATCACCACACGCACACCATCGTCCGTCCAAGCTGGGCGCAGGTGCGTGGTGCGTAGTTGGGCTTGTTTGCCCAATACTAATCTTTTTGGGCAAAAAATATTTGGATTTAATTTTATTTTTTGAAATAAAATCTGTCCAACTATCTAGAATTCAAATTAATTCCGGAAATATATTGTTCTGATTTTTCCTTACAACCAAGTATGCTACCTATTCAATTCAAAATTAAAAGGTGCCACTACATCTATAAATAGACTAGCCCTCATTTGATGAACTCATTCACTATTTTTGTCCCAAATAATTCTGTTGTTATTCT